CACACACACACACACACACACACACACACACATCTACTTGCTTATCACACGCACACGCTTACAAATCGTCCCGAAATGAGCATAAAATAATATACCCATTGCAATTCACAAAATACATAAGTGGATACATAGTCATTTAGATAACATTGTATTGAACATGAATCTACTGACATAAAAAGGATGTCATTAAATGTGTCTTTAGTAGTAGTATAAGGTTTTACGGCGCTCGCAACTGCTAAGGTCATATGAGCGCGCAATGTGTCTTTAAAGATTTTTAAAATTTAGACTCAGATGTTGTATGTCTCAAGGGTTGGGGAAGAGAGTTCCAAACTGACGGAGCAAGGTGGGCGAACGATCTTTCAGCCAATTTTTTACCCCCTTTTCTCGGAACTCTTAAAATATACTGATCGCCTGATCTTAGTGATCTAGATGGAACATAAATCTAAATTATTATTATGTCAGCTTTCCACCTGAGAGGTGCTAGGCGTTCATTAAATATGCTCCATCTATTCGTGTAAAAGATTTATCTCTGGGGTTACTAGCTCTCAGCCGAGTTTGTAATTCCTCCTGCAGGTTGCTTCAAATTCAAGCACAGTGGAAAACATATACATATATAACAGGCCGGTAATAACAGGGATTTTTTAAATCCCCGTATTTTCCTACTCTTTGTCTCTATTAAAAGTTATCTGGAATAACAGGGCATCAGGGGAGAGACGAAGCAAGCCCAAGCACGAGTGAAGCGAGAGAAGGCTGCGCTGTGCTGCAGACTTCGATCTAGCCCTAAGCCTAGCTTAATAATCAACATAATGTGTCATACTTCATACGCAGACCTGCCACATGGCCAAAACCCATGTTTGTTGGTACTTATGACAAGGGAAACTACCCATGAATAAATACAACTGGATTAGTCCACAACTGCTTACTTCCCTTGCATTTCTGATTTCACAGGAATCTCATATAATAGGACTTTTTCCCCTGGTCCCACCATCACTCTTTAAATATCTTTCCACTGTACTTATTTTGAGGTTTTCCCACGACTTTGTTCTCCTGTCTAGCTTTACTGCTGTTCCAACGTGGGTCTTAACGGTGAATCTCAGGATGGCGTGGAACCTAGGCTTTCTAAGATTATAGCCTGTCCCCGTGGTTTTATTCATGCAAAAAAACAACAACAACAACAACAAACCAACAAAAAATTCTAAAATTATGCAAAGTGAGCCCAAAAATATGATATCATGCGATTCTGTTAATTTTAACAACAAAGAATGATAAAGGAAACAATCAGAAATTAGGAAAAAATTATCTAATTTTGCTAAATTATGCGGGGTGCATCGATTCTAAAACCACGGGGACAGAATAGCCCCGGCCTAGCCTAGAGTTGAACTCTTTCATCATGTTGCGAATAGGTGCAGTTTGTCTTCATTCGCGAGCCAATGCGCTTCGCATACTTCGTCGAGAAGGCTTTCCTGTCTACTACTAGTAGTTCTAGTTGACCTCCACGAGGCTTGCATAATATCAAAGAGGAAGCTTAGAGAGACAGAGCCAAGGTTCACCATGGGTGAACGTCTCGCCGTCTAATCGCCAGTCAGCACCATCAATACGTGTACTGAGGCCTCTCCTTTCGGCCTCTGAAAGTTCTGCCACGATTTGTTACAAAGTTTTCAAGGAGAACAAAGTGTAGAGGCCAAGTCCAGGCTTAATGATAATCTTTAAATCTAAAAGTTAAAAGTACATGTCTAGAATCTATAATTTAATACGTTGCGTATGCACACTTTGAAATCGGGAAAATGTAGAAATGTTATTAGTTTGGGTCTGAAAGAAAAAGGGTTTTGCGTCATATCATGTTGTCAAAGCGACGACTTCTTCCGTCTAAAAAGACCTATCGGTAGACTTAAATATGTATTAACCTGTTAGGCCTACTGTAGGTGAATGCTGAAATAAGCCTATTGTTTTCTTGATATGACGTGTCTTTTTGAAAAGAAGAGGTAAACCTGCAAATATTGTTTTATAATTAGATCTATATAAGGCTCTTTTCGTCTATGCAGACCGTCAATTTAGCTTAAGATGGTCTCAAGGTAGTTTTAATGCAGCTTCTTTCATGGCTAATTCTTCCAATGTTTGAAGCGCAGATTCTGTCTCAGTGCTTGCATGTCAGTGTCGTAGATCGAAGCTCTGTATTTCCGCTGTTTTCCTTTCGTCGTTGGCGCTATTCAGCCTGGTTGTTTCTAAAACTGCTCGCTAGCATTTTAGTTCTCTCCTTTATCATATTCCTCCATGTTTTCCTGTCCTCAGCCAGATCTAGATCTATTTCTTGACAGATGTTAACATCTACCCCAAGCTTAGATTTATAAGCTGTTTTTGCAGGTGTCTTTGTACCTCAATTTTGATCTTCCTCTTTGTCTCTTTCCCTGGGCAAGTTCTCCATAGAGAAGTTGCTTCGGAATTCGGTTGTCGTCCATTCTCCTGACATGGCCCAGCCATCTCAGTCTCAGTCTTTTAAAACACAGGATAGTTGTCATGCTCTGGAGGTTTGCCCGTGCCAACACTTCAACATTTGTAACCTTGTCAAGCCACGAATGCCTAAGATCTTGCGGCAGCTTCTGAGATGGAAAATGTGGCACTTTTCTTGTCTGCTGTACAAGGTCCATGTTAATGTTTCAGATCCACAAGGAGTGTGCTGAGGACACATGCTTCGTAAATTTTGATCTTTGTTTTGATGGTTAATCTTTTGTTTTCCCGTGCTCGTTTTGTCAGCCTTCCAAAAGTTGTTGCTGCTTTCCCTATCCTGATGTTGATCTCATAATCAAGTGATGTAGTAGGGCAGATGGTAGACCCCAGGTAACAGGTTTTATAATTAATTGCATTATAATTGCAAGCACACTTTGGATGGCAATTAGATTATTAGATAGATCTAATCTAGACCTAAATATCGTATATAAAATTCCCCAAATTGATATTATCTGGTGGGTAATGAGTAATGATATCATCTCGGTGATTTCGGAGGCCGAATAATTCGGGTAAACATTTAGCCTACGAGAAATAAAAGATAAATTAACAGATATTCTAGATTTAATAGTGGTATCTCGTTACGGAAGTAATCCCAGATCGGGGGTAGCTAGGGTTATTTTTTTTTATATTCTATTTTTAATCGTGTATTTTTTTATTTTTTTATTTTGTTCATAAAAATTTATTTAGGTAGAGATCTAGATCTAGATCTAGATATATCTATTTTTTAAAATTACTATAGATCTACTCTAGATCTAGATCTACATCTACATCTGCATTCTACTTCTACATCTAGATGTCGATCTAGATCTAGATCTATTCTTCTTTTTTGGATTG